CATGGAGGTTTGGGTGAGCCCAAATCAGATACACAACGATCGAATTAAAGCACAGTATCAAAAGGTAAATAGTAAGACTGACCACCAAATAAAGAAATCTGTATTTTTCCATCTCCACATGCCCACCAATAGTAACATATGATATGTTCACATCATCACCCATTCAGAGTCCTGACAAAGAGAAAAAGAGAAGTGGAATATAACAGCATTTAACTGAGATAAGAATCTCTCAGCCTCAGTAGATTTACTTAAACTCCATTCAGATGGAACAACAGACAAACAACTTCTCTGGATTGAAGGACCTCGTATTTCACCTGAAAACAGGGGCTGAAAAATGAGATCACAGACTATTAGTAACTGGCAAAAGATACAAATAACCTAATCCATGAGCTTTACTGGAACACACAGAAATAATGTTAGAAGATAAGCATTAGTGCTCTGCTGTGACTCTGTCCGCTTAGATGGAGAAAAAGAAGCAGTCAGTTAATACATTCAAATTTCATGGAGGTTTGCAGTAAAACAGAGAAATATTACTGAAACATTACCCCCACCAGCTGTAAGCAAACAGAGAAATGGAAATTAGTTGATGCATACACAAGTCAGCTTTTTCTTTAAAAAGACTTAAAAGCGCATGTAATCTGTCTTATTCAGAAAAGCATCAACATTGACCATTCTGAGTAAAACACAGTCCCAGAATTAGATCAGAGCATCAGAATACATGTCAAGCAACACATTACAGTGAAAACAGAGTAGAACGTGCATCTAGAGGTCTGAGCTGTGGACAGGTATAGTAATGGGTATCTTGGGCAACAAGTATCTATTATTAGCACATACAAGAGGCACAGAGGCAGGCTGCTCTCATTAGCTGCAGCTGCCCCCAAATGACTGTTTGATTGTTACTTTAAGCAGTTTTGGGTTTGAATCTGCATAAGCAGGTGTGTGTCCTGTAGCACCGACCCAATCAGAAAGCAGTGTAGGTGGGTAGAAGGGAAATTAAGCAGGGGGGAGTGAGGTCCAGGCATCAGGAGTAGCCACCAATCACAAAACATTTGTTATGTAATACACTGCATTTTCCATCAAGTGACAAAAGAATGAGAGTTTAGATAATATTCTGATATAGCAGAATGTCTTGCATAATGTTATTGCTGTCAATTTTTGCAATCAATGGGATTTTTCTCAATTTCCAAGAGTACCTGATGGGCTCATAGTAGTACGTAACAGTCCCAGTTATAAAATGGCAGGCTGGCTTAATGTTATTATTTATTAATTAGGCACATACAAAAAAAATCTTTTCAAAGCAGCAGATAGATGAAAATAGACAGTACGGCTTTATATTGGTTTCATGTATAGTTTTAGTCTATGGTTTAGTTATTAAGACCACAAGACCTCCAAACACTGGCATAATTAGTGGCTTCAATTCCCACTTTTAATTTTCTCCACGCTTTTTTTTTTCTTTTTCTCTTTCTCTTTTTTCGAAAATACATCAGGATTGTTTCATCTTGACTGAAAGCTCCCATGAAATATTAGGAGTTTTCTTGTGTTGATATCAGTTTCTTCTGTTTTATATCATCAGGCTCATATAGTGGTGAAATATATGATAAGTATGTGGACATATGAGCTGAGGGTTTTTTTGAGGAACTTTGTCCAAGAACAGTTATCAACATTGAGGGAAATTATCAGTACAATTATTTTTCTGGGGGCACCACACTATCTCAAAATATAACCATCGGTTTCAAATTATGTTTGTCTATATATGCCAATCTGGAAAAAGATATTACGCACACAGGACTTCAAAAGCTTTCAATCACACACAGTGATCATTGAATAACATTTCCTTTAAAACATTATAACATATTTTTTTCAAGATGGCACAAAGATTAAATCAATAGCATCTTTATTGAT